TCAGCTATAGAGGACTACAAAAACCAGCATTACATTATACAGCAATGCGGATTCATAGTATATTCAAGAGACATACTCTTTGCTGCTGCTGCTCTGCTATAAGGTGTCAGCCTGATGTCTTGGTCAGAGAGTATCAGGAGGGTTGTGGAGGGTCTCCGAAGGGATGCGGAGGCTCTTAGCAGGAGGTGATGTGCGGGCGGCGGAAGAGCTGTAAGCAGGCACCATGTGGTTCCCCAGGAGGTTGCCACGAGGTCCCCAGCAAACATTGGACCTAACACAGCCGAATCAATTTGTAAAATTAAAGTGCCAAAATCAGTTTTTAGTATCAGGGCACTTTTACCAATACTGGTATCAGTGCATCTCTAGTTTGAAGGCCTTTGTAGGTGTCAAAAATCATGTGTAATAAAACTAGCTAGGACTCTCTTACACAGCATGCTTGCCCAGTCTTGCTCTGCTCCCCTTCTGCTTTTCCTGTGAAGAGTTCATAACCCAGAGTGCAGAGGTCAGAGTTGTAACACAGAGTGTAGAGATTAGCGGTTTCATGCAGAGTGCAGAGGTCAGTGTTGTAAAACAGGGTGCAGATTTCAGCAGTGTCATGCACAGTGCAGTGGTCAGCGGTGTAATGTAGAGGTCAGTATGTAATGCAGTGCAGAGGTCAGCAGTGTAATGTAGAGGACAGAGGTCAAAATGTAACGCAGTGCAGAGGTCAGTGAATGGGCCGCGATAATTTGCATATCAATGAGCCGTTGGCATAGGGGCCGGGGCGGGCCGAACATTAGGCTGATTGTGTTCGGCCCGTCCCGGCCCCTATGCCCGAAGCTGCTGGGCGCCGAAGGGTGCGGGGAGATGGTGCCGTCAGATGAGCTGCAGAGGGGATCGTGACAGGCAGTGCTGAGGTCCCCACCGCTGCGACCTGTCGTGCCAGCTCACTCTCTCCTCCCGGCCACTGCAGCTACAGAACAGCCGGGAGGAGAGAGCTGACAGGAGGGATCGCAGCTGCGGACACTGTCAGATGCAGACCGTGTAGCTGAATCTGCGCCCACACTCGGATCCTTTCGGCCAGCGCTTTTTCAGTGAACACTGGCCGAAAGGATTGTGAAGAAATTATTGGTAAGATCTGGGGGGGGTTTCACGGACTGGGGTTGTGTGTGTGCGTGTGTATATGTACAGGGGTTGTATTTTTTTTTACGTGTTGTGGTGGTGGGGGGGTTGGGGAGAAGAAGTGTATTAGGCTACATTCACACCTTTATTTTAGGTGCAATTAGGGATTTCTGCGTCAGGAACTTGCGTTTTCCTGCAACAGAAATCACTAGATTGGCGTTTACAAGTGGCAGCTGTCATCTAAGTTAATGATCAGGGGACAGCAGTTGCATGTAAACGCCTGCACACCGCATGTTAAGATACGTGATATTATTACATTCAGTTAGGAATCAATCACTCTCCCTGGACGCATCGATTGTGCATCCAGGGAGACTGTTTTCTAACCGCATGTAATCATATCACGTATCATTATATGCGGTGTGCAGGCGTTTACACGCAGCTGCTGTCACCTGATCATTAACTTGACTAGGTGACAGCTGCCACTTGTAAATGCCAGATTAGGGATTCCTGATGCAGTAAAACACAAGTTTCTGATGCAGGAATCCCTAATCACACCTAAACCTACAGATATGAATAGGGCCTTATTGTGTCTGTAGTACTTAAACTGGATATAGTTACATTTTATTTTAAGGTATGAAATGTGGCAAGCGGCCCCCATGAGAGAAAAAAATTTGTCGAGTGCCCCCGAGACGGAAGAGGCGGGGGGGCAGAGACACTGACGGAGGAGGCAGGAGGCGTCGCCGAAGCAGTCGGGCAGTGAAGATGACACGGAGGCCGTGTCGGGCGCCGATGATGATGAGGACATGTTCCAAAGAGGTCAGGCCGTGTAAGGTAAGATAACTGTGCTGGCAGAGCCCAGCATAGATTCTGCACAGCCCACCAAAGAGTCTAAGGTGTGCTGTGCAATACCCTTTGGTGGGCTCTGCAGGATTTGAGGGGGCTCTGCAGCACCACCACAGATCCTGCAGAGCCCCCCTGAGATCCTGCAGGGCCTCTGCAGGATCTGTGGGGGGCTTTGCTGGGTCTCAAGGGGGCTTTGCAGGATCTGTGGTGAGCTCTGCGAGGTCTATGGTGGGCAGGATCTGTAAAAATCATCAACCGGGGGGATTTGCAGGAGCTGTGTGGGGGTCTAAGGTGGGCTCTGCAGGGTCTCAGGTGGGATGAAATGCCGCGGGTGGCCCACGTGCAGTAGAGCCTTCCCGGCCGAACCTCTTACTTCTAAGTAAGTCAGGTCGTTGGAGATCTTGAGGAGTTGGAGTTTTCGACAGAACACCGACTGTCTTTCTGAAAGCCCGCTAAATAGTTGGGCTCCTAATAGTTGGCCACCAGCAACTTCCTCCGCCCACTTCAGCTGCCATAGGCTAGGAATAAGACTGCAGGGCTACCATTGGCAAAGAAAGAGCGGGTCCTGAAGTGAGGGCACAAGGAGGCAGCTGGGCATCATGCTGGACTGGAGGCTTCAGCTGAGACTAGAACCCCCCACCCCCACCGCTGGCCTCTGCACTGTAAGTCACACCGCTGTCCTCTGCACTCTGTTTCACACCCTGACCACTGCACTGTAGATCACACTGCTGACTTCTGCATCACACCGCTGACCTCAGCACTGTGCGTCACATCGCTGCACTCTGCGGCACACAGCTGCCCTCTGCGTCACACTGCTGTGCTCTGCATCACACCGCTGATCTCTGCACTCTGCGTTGCACCTCTGACTTCTGTACTCTGCATTACAACACTGACTTCTGCGTCACACTGCTGTGCTCTGCATCACACCGCTGATCTCTGCACTCTGCGTTGCACCTCTGGTGTCTGTACTCTGCATTACACCACTGACTTCTGCGTTGATTTGGCTGTGTTAGGTCCTGCAGGCTTCTGGGGAACCACACGGTGCCTTCTTACAGGGCTTCCACCGGCCGCCTATCTTTCCCTCCTGAGACCCTTTGTCCGAGACTTCAGGCTGGTACCTGGGAGCAGAGCGGCAGCACAGAGTATGTACCAAATTCATATACTATAATTCTGCATTGCTGTATAATGTGTTGCAGGGATTTTTAGTCCTCTATAGCTGATGGTATTCTGCATTAGAGTGTAAGCTCCTCTGTACAGAGACTGATGTGACTTCTCTGTACCGCATTTTTATATATGTCAGGGCTTTATAAATGTATAATAATAGTGTGTGACTGTGCGGGGGACATTAGAGTGTTAGCTACTTTAGTGCAGAGAATGCCAGGGGGGTTGGGGGGCCAGTGAGATCCGATTCTCTATAGCAATATGTCTGTGAAGGTTCATTCATCCAGGTCATGGGATATCTGTAAAAAATAAGTCACTGGACTTTCTGTATTTTTCTTGAAGACGTTTCACTGGTCATCCAACTAGCTTTCTCAATTCAGAAATTTCTGATATGAGAAAGCTGGTTGGATGACTAGTGAAACGTCTTCAAGAAAAATACAGCAAGTCCAGTTGCCTTGACTTATTTTTTACAGATATTCTCTATAGCAAGCTTCCTACATTGTTGCAAGGTTTGTGTATTGGTTGTAGCAAGGCTTGTGTTTCAGCTGTAGCCCTCCGGTACTTACTAGTGGCCGGCCCTGCCCCTCGATTGCTCTTCTGTGTTTGGCTCCACCCCCTGTTGTGGTCACGTGATTGGGCTGCTCAGTCTAAAATGCCCGGGCCTATTTTTAGTCCCAGTCCGGGAGTTATTTTTAGTCCCAGTCCGGGAGTTAGGTGCTTGGGGCAGCACAAGGTTGCTCCTAGCTGTTAGGGTCCCCACACACCTTACGATTATCGTACGATAATCGCGGGAAATCCCGCGATCGTACGATGATCGTAAGGTGTGTGGAAGCCGTGCGACCTCTACTACTGTAAGGTCGCACGACTTTAAACTTACGGATATGTTTGAAAACCCGCCGAGCATCGTACGATGTTCGGCGGGTTTGTGGCATGTCTGTACGATAACAGCCGCACGGGCCGGTGTGCGCAAGCGCACACTGCCCGTTCGGCATTGCGGTCATCGGAAGCCCGCCCCTCAGGGGGCGTGGCTTGCGATCATCGCAAGTACGATCTGCCTATGCAACATAGGCAGATCGTACGTTTTTTTAAGTACCTTACAACCATCGCAAGACAGAAGTCTTGCGATGGTTGTAAGGTGTGTGCCCAGCCTTAGTCAGGAAAAACTGAGTGTAGAAGCTTGCCAAAGTGGCAAGGATTTATTTTCATGTTTCTTTTGCTGTTAAAGAGAGTAAATAAACTGCACATGTGATTTTCATCAAAAGTCATTGCCCATTGCCTGCTGTGCCTGTTTTCTGTGTGAAGTACTCATCCAGGGAGTCACACACACCTGCTGTTGAGCTACTACCGAGCCAATACCCTCACACTATAAATATATACAAAAAAATTAACTCAAATGCCATAGTGTCTAACAAAAGTCTCATACAAGATTTTCTTTTGAAATAACAAATATAGGGTGTGTGAGCTATTTTCCCTGACAAATATACTTGGCTGATATTCTTAACCCTCAGAAGGGTAGAAGAAAGATAACACATTAAATCAAAACAATCACAACTATCATGTTTTAACTTGAAAATGCTATGTAATAGAATAAGTTTATATGTGCCATGCCATTTAATTAATGAGCTAAACTACAATGATGGTCAATAGCTCAGTAAGCACAAAATAATATAAGCTCTGTAATCAACATGTAGAGATACGATGCATAACCTATATCCGGACATAGAGCAAGCATATGATTCAGAGGACAAATTAGTTTAGGAGGGTGGTATGCAGTTTCAGCCAATAAGGCTCCACTTTGACCTCTGTGGCTACTATGCTAATGCTATAAAAGTGGGAGGATGTTCAGTTTAGGGTGGACCCTTCTTGAGTTGACTGAAGGCTTTGTGTGCACCAAAATGGTTCTGACGTCAAGTGAGCAGGAGGTTATCCTTGACATGTGTAAGAAGATTGCCCCTCGTGCGGATGATCTGGGTGGTGAGGCTTTTGACCGGTAAGGTGCCTTTATTCGTGTGTGTGTGTGTATATATATATTAGTGTGTGTGTGTGTGTTCAAATGGATGCATATTGTAAAAGCAAAAGAGTTGCAAGTTTAATGTAATAGCATAACCTTTAAAAAAAATAAAAATGGTTTTGACTGAATTTGCAAAACAACCAATAGTAAACTTCACTTGGCTGTAGCTCCTCAAATCATATCTGAATGGGTTCTGATGTTTGTCCTTCTGGAGGGTGGATACTTTTTGTTTCCCATGATCTGTGTGTGTTGTAAGCACTGAGCCAAGCTGATGCCTGTGATTGACAACAATCTCACATTTTAGTTTACTAAGTGTGAGATTGTAAAATATAGTCTATCATGGGCGTGAGCTTGGGTTGGTGGCTACTTTACACCACACATGGATTGTAAGGCACAAAAAGTAGCCACCCTCCAGAAGGGACAGTCGGCACCCATTTAGAGATTTGAGGATCTACAGCTGTGTGATACACAAATAAGAGTTTTTATTAAGTTGCTTGAATGCATTTTTAAGATTTAACTTGAGTTTTTAGTGTTTTCAAGTAAACAAAAAAAAATATAAAATATAAAAATGATAGATGTAACTTTGATTGCTAATTTATGAACCATTAAAGTAGCATTTGTACTATTAACCAAAGGAAATGTTATATATTTTTCTGGACACCCACATGGCAGCATACAATGGGTATGGCTCTGCCCCCTGCCCAATCACAGGACCAGTTATACTATAAACCATGCCTCCTAAGGCAGCTATTCGTGGGGTTTTTTTTTCTGGCCTCCTTGCTCAAGCTGGTTATACTAAAAAAAACAAAACATTTGTTTGCCCTTAACTTGATGGTTCCTTCTGGCCTGCTGCACAGGTTCAGCCTCCTGTTAAGTTCTCTTTGTTCAGGTGGCTGAATGCAATCTTATAAGGGAAGCCTCCCCATAGCCTTGGAGTTGGGGTGCAAGAAATGGTCTCTTCATATTTGGATGCTTGCTCTGTCATGGTGGTGGGTTGAATACTTGCTTAGCCTCCTTGTCTTGTGACTCGAAGAACTGACTCCGCTACATTATCAGAAACTATGGTTGTAATGGAATGATCACACGCATGGACAAGATGGAGAAGTAGGATCCACTCCATTTTTCGTTCAATTAGTTTAAGGAATTGGTGGGCTACTATTTCCTATGGCTTTGCAGTGCTGCTTTGCTCTGGCTGAATCTTTCTGAATATCTGTGATTCTGTCAAGATCCATTCAGTTTTCCATGTGTGCTTAAACCTTACAGGTGCATTGCAAGGAAGTGTATGGTTCTGTGGTGCTGCTAATGCCATAGCTGGATCTTGCAGGTTTTACCTAAACCATCCATTAGCTTGCTTGTGGTGCTTTAACCTTGCAGGTGCTTACTGAGTGCAATGTGTTGCTCTGCTACTGAGGGCTTGCTCACACCAAATGTGGACCAGATCTGCATGAGTCTCTGCACGTGCAGTGTGTTTTGATGCGTTGTGTGCCTTTTGTTTTTTTGGCCTAAAATGGGCTCCCAGGGTGTTTGCATGTGTTTTTGGTGCATTTGAGCAGAAACAAATGGAGCATACTGCAGATTTTCCACATGCTCTGGAACTGAATGCTGTGGTGCGACCTAGAGCTCAAAATACCATTGGGATGCATTTTTGATGTGTTCTGTAACTGCTCTGCACTTGGTGTGAACAAGCCCTAAAGCTTTAACTGGATCTTACAGAAATGTGGTGTTGCTAACTGTGCTTTAATCTTGTGCCTTTCATGTGAGTATTTTGCTGTCACCTGTGGTTCCTCAGTGCTTTTAATGTTTATATGTAACTTATGGAGTTGTTGCTTCATGCCAGTTTTCTTTTTCATGGTCCTGTGTATAAAGCATTGTTAGTGATACGATCCTGTTGTGCTTTAACTTTGAGCCCACATGTATGTGGCTTCCAGATATACAGCATTGATATGGCTTCCAGATATAAAGCATTGATAGTGTCTAGCGGGTTCTGACAGGTCCTGTTTCTTCATTATCTGTTCGCAAAGGTTGCTTCATGTGTTTGATTACCAAATGGCATTAACCTGCTTCCCCAAGAGACCAACTACATTCTATAAGGTGAGGGTCAGGTAGGTATGAAGATTAAAAAAGTGTGCATGCATGGGCATAATGAATTGTAAATCTTTGCAGCCCTATTGACATCACTGTTCCTCAGAGTGCATATGCGGGGGTTAATGGATTGTAAATCTCTCCAGCCCTTTGCCACCACTGCTTCTCGGAATGCACATGCATGGACTTCTGGATTATAAGTCCTCACCAGCACTGCTCCCCCAAAGACAGAGTAAGCTGCTCAATTTGGGATAAAAGGTCCTCTTCAAGCTGTGATAAAGCTGTTTCACATGCAAGATCCTGCTATTGCAGTCCAGCTAGCGGAATGCATCACAAGGATTGTACAGCCTTTGAGCAGTGCTGGGCCTGTGATTGCCTGGCAGGATGCTGTGCTTTGTTTCCCCATGCAGGGGCAGCAGTGAATAGAGGTAGAAAGGTGGAGGTCTGCAGCCTCAAACAGAGGTGATGTACTTTATGAACTGCCAATTACTAGCCCAGGCAAGCGCCTACATCCAAGTTCCCCTCTAGTCATATGGCAGTCGGTTAGAGTATTGCCCTGGCGCACCCATCGGCCAGTAATGGCTTTTACTTGCCAGGGAAGTCCATACTTGCCCTAAGAACACAGAAGCAGACCTTTTTGGCTGGCAAAAAAGGTCTCGGG